TTTCAGTTTCACAACGAAGAAATTCCAAAAATCGTTAGAGCACAGATCAGAAAATCTCAATAGGCGTCACAAAGACTTGGCAAATATCATCGAGACCCATTGAGAAGATCATAGTTCGAAGGTGGGAAAAAAAAAAAAAAAAAAAGAGGCATATGGAGACTGAAAATGGAAACCCAGTCTCGTGTCGTGGGAACCATGGGATCGGACCAAGCATATCTGGAAAATAGAAATCAAAATAAAAGAAAATAGCAAAACCATAGAGAAGTAAAAGTTGGAAAGGGGACATCCGTGGTGGGTGTTTTGAGGGTTGCTTATAATGGGTGTTTAAAATAGCTAATGCTGAAATGAAGAAGGCAAAAGCTATTCGTCTGCTTCCTCGAAGACATGCTCCACAATCTTGAACAGGAGGATTTGTGTGCAAATGTTGGTTAGCAACTAGGCAATCTGAGTAAAATGGCCATTCTCCTCGTGGTTTTTGTCGGCGATATCGCAGGTAAAGAGTTCAGAGATGGATTGAGGTGAAGGGGAGGCGATGTGCGGTGGTCGGCGGCGGCACGAGCGGCGCCAGTGTGGTGCCGGTGTGGCGCCGGTGTGGTGCCGTTTGTATTGAAGAAGAAAGTTTCTTTGTTATCTTTTTTTATTTGCTTTTGTGAACATAATCAAGTGGGCTAGTTTTGCATAATTCATTTTACGGATTTGAGTTTAGAATTAGGTCTCGTTCATTTCATCGATTTGAGTTTTGTTACAGTAAAAAACTTTAAAAAATAATTACATCTAACTTTTTTACTACAGTAAAAAGCTTTCACATAAAGTCATATCTCAACTCGAATCAGCAAACTAAACGGACCTGAGAATTCGAGTTTTACTACTGTAAAAAACTATCAGAAATAATCACATTTAATTTTTTTGTTACAGTAAAAAAATTTCACATAAAATCACATCTTAACTCGAATTAACGAACTAAACGGACCATTTATTTTTGTTTGCGTAGAAAAGATTATTTTGGCCTCATTTGCTTTGCGGACTTGAGTTTTTAATTTGAGTTGAGATGTAACATTTTTTTAGAGCTTTTAACTGTAACAGAAAAAATTATATGTGATATTTTCTAAGAGCTTTTAACATTATAAATTTAAAACTGAAAATTTAAATTAATAAAATGAATGAGGCCTTTCATTTTTTAGCCACTATTTTTAATTTGAAGGTTGTTACGGTTCACGGAACAAAACGGCCCGTACCATAGATTTTTCCTTTTTTAGTATAACTTGTTATGTTTTCACATAAATAATATCCTAACTTTTATTGTACAACGATCGTAAATGGAAAGACACGGGAAATTTATTAAAATTATTAAGAGGTTGTTCTTTTGCAACGAAATTTAGAAAAAGTTTGAGCTCGAGTTACAACTTTATTTAAATTTATGTTTTTTTTGTAAAATTTGAGTTTGAATTCAAGTTTATGGCTAAACTCGAGTTATGACTTAGATTTGAAAATGTATAGGATATGTGGGAAATGGGAAAAACGAAAAAAAAAGGCAGAAAATGTGAAGAAACATAAAGAAAGGACAAATTAATTGAGGATCAAAGAATAAAATTAAAAAAACCAATAAAAAAAGAAAAGGAACGAAGCGCATTACACGTGAGAGAAGGACAATTTGGCGATCACAGTTTTTATAATACTAGCTTCCCGTTATTTTTTTTTTCACTTTGCAAATTGTATTTTTTTCACATTATTTAAAATTATTAAATATGATAAGTAATATTTCAATATAAATATGCTTTTTTAATTGTTTCTTTAAAAAAATTTAATAAATATGCGAACAATTCATAAAAATAAATAAATATAGCTAATTAAAACACAACATGTTAACGATGTCAAACTGAAACACGGCATGTTAACGATGTTCTTTAAGAAATGCCAATAATATTTTAATGATGATAAAAATAAATAAATATAGCCAATTGATAATTATTTTTGAAACTAAAAAAAATGACATTCATAAAAAAATTCCAATAACGGTGTAAAATTATTAAGAAGTTTTAAATTTTAACCTAAATAAAACTATGATTTGACGAAAATCAACAATTTCATGTTATGATAATGATAGTTGAAAGAAAAAAGTTACAAAAATATATACATCTTCTCTACTATAAGTGTAGATATATAGTAAGAGTACAATGATTTATGAGTGACAATATTTATGCAAGTAAAGAAGAAAAAGAACAGTATTTATAATACAATTAAAGAAAATGGAAGGAAAAAAAAAGCAGAAAAAGACAATTTAGAAAAATACTTGAAAGCAAGGAAGCAAAGCAGCAAAAAAGAAAAAAAGTGTTTAAAGAGAAAATTAATGGAAAAAAATATTTTAATGGGAAACAATGAAAAGTACATGTGTTAAAAAAGAAGAAAAAGAACAATATTTAAAATACAATTAAAGAAAATGAAAATAAAAATAAAAAAATAAAGAACGACAATTTAAAAAAAAGATTTTTTGGTACATTAGGCGTACTGATAGGTCAGATTTTTTTAACTATTAGATCTGTGTATTTTTTAACTTTTACATGATTTTATGTAGATCCAACCGATAAAAAACTTAACCTACTAATATATTAACGTACCGGGGATGATCCCCTTATAAAAAATGCTTGAAAATAAGTATTAAAAAAAAAACTTGCAAGCAAGCTGTTGAAGTACGAAATTTTGCACTCCATCAGCTCTTCTATATATAGAAGATTAGGAGTGTTATATATATATATATATATATATATAAGAAATATCTTCTGTCTGGCAGGTACTATTTGCTTGACTGATCTCGTATAAAAATTATTCTTTTGGAGTTTTTGAGTTAGCGTGATTTGAGTTCAGATCTTGATTTGAATTAAGGTATATTTGAGTATGGTTTGAGTTAGGATTATATTTAAGTTTGTGTTTGGATGTGCACATTTTGAGTTATGATTTGAATTGAGAATCTATTTTAGTTTGTGTTTGGGTGGGTCAAAACTTGAATTTGTATTTGGATAGTATTTTAATAAAAATTCAATGGTGATGGAAAATTTTAATAGGGTTTGTGGGTGGGGTTTCATTCGTCTCTTCGTTGTGAACGCATAGAAAAAAATCATCTCAATTGGAATTAAAACAAAAAAGTTATGACGTTTTTAAAAATAGAAAAAATAATGTTTATTAACTTGAGTTTGAGTTTAAGAACTTGAGTTGAAGAAGAAATTTAAACTTAAATTATAGCCCTAAACTCGAATTTTATAAAATAAAAAAAATACGAACTTAATAAAGTTGTAACTTACCTATAGGCTATCATTACTAAATAGGTCATGTGAGTAGGTTTCAAAAATTAAAGAAATTAAAAAAATGGATTTCATTTCAAACAAAAGGCAAAGAAGAACGACGTAGAACTTACTCGTCGTTGGCTCTTCCTTACTCTGAAGGCTATGAAAGTGTAAACTCCAATATGTCTCTAGGGGTTTTTGTGATCATATATTTACTTGACCGATGTTGTAATATGCACTTGTTTTCAAACCATGTATGGTTTTTCATTTTGTGTGCATTAAACCTTTGGGGCAACAGAATGCACCTTTACTATTACAGAACACACTCTCAATGAAATCTTCGCTTGTCATGTAATAATCATTACGGATTCACACCGTTGCATCCACACAATTGCCTTTTTTTAGACTTTATTTCTTTTAATGCATGAATCCTTTTTGCACTTAGCTAGCAAACACATTTTCTAGTCGTTTATCACTTCTTAATTTTTCCGTTAAAATGGCTACAAGGAATCTTTAAGGGGTGGTTATTTTGCAACTCAAATTAAGAATTTGAGTTGTGTTTGTGAGAGAAAAATATTATAGTAAAAAGTGAAATTTAAATTATTGTGAGAAAAAATACTGTAGCAATAGAATTTAAGTTGTAAAAAGAACAATGTTGTTTTATTTGTATAAAAGTTGTACAATATCATTATCCGACCAATGCCAAAGTTTTCGATTGGCCTTCAACGAATTGCCCCGTGTTGCAAACTTGGTACCCTATCTTTACATATCATTAAGTAATATAACATGCTCATCCATATTGCTATATTCACAAATCTATATATGTTACACGTGATTTGGATTTTGGCATTTCAACGATTTTACAGCATTCTAAACTTGTTACTACATGTTACTTGCAATGGTTTCATGGTACTACTTTAACCTTTACATTGTCGTTTTTTGGTCCTATAATTTCCTTTATTCTCTCAATCTGCTTTGGCACCAATTTCGGTGGTGTTACAGACGTATCCCAACTACATCACTACAGACTCGTTTGGTTCGCAGTTGGAATTTATGCAATTTAAATCATTTTGGTTTAAACTAAAAAAATTTTGTGAGATAAAACACTATAGCATGAGGATTCAAACCGCGGAATTGAGAGGTTGCTAAATTCTAAATTTGGGATTTGAACCAGGTTTTTCAATCCGAATATGGTCTACATGTTGTTGAGTACTTGACCACACTATCTACCGTATATCTTACATTTAATGGACGTTTGGTTCGTGTATTCAAAATCATGATTCAGAATTATTTTCGTTTTACGTGTGTTTTTTATGAGAAAAAATACTGTAGAGAACCATGAATCATGATTCAGAATCATTGATGAATACAAGAAACAAACGGGCTCTTAAACAATTTTTTGACATACATTATCCCACAAAGAAATTTTTTATATTTTTCTAATTATATAGGGTCCATTTAGTTCGTTGATTCGAATTTTTAATTCGAGTTGGAGATGTGATTTTATGCGAGAACTTTTTACTATAGTAAAAAAAATTAGTTGTAACTATTTATGAGATATTATTTAAAATTCGTAAATATCGCATTTGCTTTTATCCAGAAATTTGTTTCCTGATAGTAAGTTGTAATTAGATCATATCTTCATTGTAAAAAAACGATCAAATATGATTTTGAAGAGCTTATTAATTTAGAGGGTACAGAAAGCTTACATTTGTTGGGTAATTTTTTATGGTATCAATTTTAGAAATCGTATCTGTTGAAGGTGTTAGACAAAAATAGTATGGATAATATAAAAGAGGAACAAGTTAAGGAAGAACAAAACTGAAATTCATACAATTGTAATTCAACATTTTTACCAAAAACTCATAAATGGAAATTGCAAGAATGTCGAGGCACGTGGAGCACGTTTTCCTTAAAACATATTCGTCCCCTCCGGCGTGTGCTTGAGGTTACGTTGGACGTCCGTCTCCCAGGATACAACAACAACGACGGTAGCTCGATGCACTTTCGAAACCGTCCGACGAACTAGAACTTGATCTTTCCTCTATCACCAAAACTGAACTACAAGAACACAAAGCACAAAAACACGGGGACAGAAACAGAAGTGAGAGAAGAGAAGAAGAATTCTGAAAAATGAGTGCTTTGTTCATGTGGAGGATGACCCTTATATAGCCTGCCCGTGAGGGATGTTACAAGGCTGTAATGAAGGTGAATAAAACCAATTTATTCATGGTTTAATGGTGCTTGAATTCTGTGGTTACAGCCCCTGGAATTCCCAGATGAAGCTGGTCCAAAAGAAGTCTACAACCGGAGATTTAATGTCCATAAACCAATGGTTATTGCTGTAGTTTCTACATCCTTCAGTAATGCAGATTTTAAACAGCCACTAATGAATCGATTTCGGAATTTAGTTGGCAAAATAAAAGAAAAAATTGCAAAAAGTAGCTTGCACGGAGCGAGTTTTCCGGTCCGGCATTCGTGTCCGCAAGTCGCGGGCGCACACATTGGCCCCCAACCCGCCGGGATCGTGATTCGCACCCCCCCTGCGCGTGAGAGAGCGTCTCTGGTATACATGCTTGCCTAGGCTTCAAAGTGCAATCACTTATAAACACCACATTGGCTAGGAGCCAATGTGAGATTTTTACAATTTTCCTTCTTCATTGACCATTCCAAGTACCATACTTAGACCATCAATTTCTCATTCACCCAAAAATCATTTTGAGTGTATGAATACTCGATTTCGATCTCCTCGCGACGGAGAACGCAAATCCATCGAGACCCGTCCCAAAAACCTATTGGGCCCCATCCGAATATGGGCCTCAAAATGAGTCTTTAAAATGGCTTAACAAGCCATTTTTCCAACAGAAGGTGCTGTGGGTCTTGAAGAAGATGTCAAATTTGAAGTGTCCGCGGTTAGTCTTGTGAGATAATCCTCATTATTCACAGATTGAGCGCGTTTGAAACTCGTTCTAAAATAATTTATTTTTTTATAAAAATAAAAATGAAAATGTTTTTAATCTCATACAAAAATCATTTTTGAAAACGCATTGGGTAGTTTTATCAAAAGATTATTTTCAGTATAAAAAATTCATTAATGTTTCTATTTCTTTCTCTCTACTCGAGAGAGCAGAAAACGAAAACAAAAAATGAAAAATGACTAAAAGTCATTTTTCATTTCTTTCTCATTTTACACTAAATCAAAAAATCGTTTTCATTTCTGTTTTTTGTCTCTATTGCACCAAACGTCATTTTAGAAACCTTTTCATTTTTTATTTTTTGAAAAACGTGAAAAATAAAAACGGGATCAATTCCAAACACGGCCATTATAGTTTTGATGTTATTGATAAATAATTGTAAAAAAAAAAATATATGTTGCAATTATTACAATTTGAATATACAATACTTACCAAGACTGCAGCTCAATAGCTTCAGGTATATTTGGATTGATGAAAAATTTGTTGGATTTGTTGCTAATGACAAACCTGTAGCAGAGTTTTTTATTAGTAGTATGTAAGATAAGATTTTTTTTTAATATTTTTTTTTTAAAAAGAATTGAGTATTAATGTACTGTTATATGGAGATGCTTTCAGTCGAACACCTGCAATTACAAGCCTTGTTGCAATAATACTGGAAATATTCGCCCCTTCATTTGTGACGAACGGGTTCCACATTGTTGGTAACATAGGCTTTTGTCTATAATGAAACAAAAGATTTATAATGTCATATCTTGATATATAGATGTTTAATAAATAAATATTCAAATTGCAAACAGGTAACATAAAATATAATTCATACTCTTGGTTGATGAGATAAATTTCTTGAATATTTGCGGCTCCAAATTTGGTGTGTATTTCTTTTGGTTGTTTGGCGTATATAATTAAAAGCGAAATTATTATTATAAGTTCGAATATAAGTTCTGAAATGTGAAGACTCATCTATGCAGAAGTATATATATTATATTAATTCTTCAGGAATATCGTTTGTAATCAATGCTATTTCTCCATTACAATAACAAATTTTTTTTGTTTCTTGGGCAAATTTCTTTGCGTTACAATATTCACATATTGTAGGTGATATCAGTTTTTTAAGTTCGTTTACAATATTTTGCATTACGTGGTCTTTATATATGTTATTATATGAATATTAGTTGTCCACTTCAGTCAAAATTATTATACAACTCCAGTCAAACTTACTATTCACGTCAGAATCTTACTGTGTAAATAGTAACTATAAATAATAAATACAGTGCAAATAGTAAGTACTGTACAAATAGTAATCGTGAATAGTGCCGAAAATTTTCCTATAAATAGTGCTCTAAGGTTTTTCATTTTGTACACCTTCACAAGATTAATAAAATTCTCTCTCTAAAGTTTTTCTTCTTAATTTTACATTTTCTTAATTTTCATAACACATTATCAGCACGAACGTTATACTACTACTGCGATTGTCTACATTCATTAATTCAAAAAAAAAAAAGGCTTTCATCCAATTACAAACATCTACTTTAAAGTAAAAAAAAAGTAAGTCCTAGCCTTAGCCTACAACAAGTTTATACCCTTATTAATTCAAGTGAAAGGTATGTAAATATACTCTATTATTTTATATTCATGCAAAGAGAGACTATGCTACCAACGTATTATATTTTTATAATCTTGTCATTATACACCCTTCGAAAGATTTACTGAGTAGTTTGACGTGTTTGTATTCTCATAAATAGCCGGCTACGCCGGCCGCAGGTAGTAATTTCTTATTGCACTTTCTGCATACATATTACTATTCTCATATGTTTATTTTTCTACATCATTTGAGTCATACAATTGTAATTTTTATTCTACTTCTAACGGTAATATAATAGATTTTTACACCACTAATAACGACTATAAACGGCTAATTTTTACTCTTTAAAATGTGGATTTCTTAACCCATACAATTAACTTCTTCTCTTCTCTTCACCATGCTTAATATTTTTATCTTTCACTTCTCATCTTCTCTTCACTATTCTTAATATAATTTTCACGATGTGCCGAATATAATAATGATGTTTATTATTTTAATAGTCATTTTTTTATATTTTTAGTTTTTTTATTAGAGATCATTCTCCACATGATTTTCAATTTTTTCTTGCAATACTCATACTTGTAATATTTCTCATTTTATTTATTGTTATTATGATTAACATATAATTTTAATTGTATTATCTATTGTAATAATAATATTATGATTTTTAGTATATTGATGTTCTGTTATAATTATCACAATATCGAATCTTGCCAAACTTGAGTTTGTTGCACTCGACATCAAAGAAAAGAATTATATGTCTTGGATCATTGATGTAGAAATGCATCTATAGTCAATGGGTCTAACCAATATTATTAAAGAAAATAATAACAAATTACCACAAGAAAATGCGAAAGCAATGATTTTCTTTCGTAAATATCTTGATGAAGACTTGAAATACAAATATCTCATGATTAAAGATTCACTTGTCCTTTAAAAAAGTCTAAAAAAGAGATACGACTACAAAAAAATCGTCCTTCCCGTCACTCACGATGAGTCATGAATTATAATTATGAGATTAGAATAATTTTCGATTTACGTGTATTTTTTGTGAGAGAAAATACTATAGCAAATCATGAACCATGATTCAAATCATGGTATGAATCATCTTACCAAACGTCTATGTTTTTAAGACCTTAAGGGCTTGTTCTTTTGGAGTTTAATTTGAGTATAATTCTTGAGTTAAATTTGAGTTATAATTTAAGTTGAACTTGTAACTTGAGTTTGTGTTTGGTTGTGTACATTTGAGTTATGATTTGAGATAAAAATCTTTTTGAATTTGTGTTTGAGTGAGTCAAAACTTGAATTTATATTTAGATAGTATTTTAATAAAAATTCAATGCTGATAAAAAATTTTAACAAGGTATATATGTCGGGTTTTATTCGTCTTTTCATTGTCAACGCATAGAAAAAAGAATCATCTCAATTAGAATTAAAACGAAAAAGTTATAGCATTTTTAAGAATAGAAAAAATACTGTTCATTAATTTGAGTTCGAGTTTCTGAACTCGAGTTAAAGGAGAAACTTGAACTCGAGTTTTAGTCATAAACTCGAGTTTAAACTTAAAAGAACATGAACTCGAATAAAATTGTAACTCGAGTTGCATTTTTTTGAGTTTTTCACTCAAAAGAACAAGCCTTAAGGGTTCGTTCATTTTACCGATTCGAGTTTTTAGTTTTAAGTTTCTACAGTAAAAAGTTCTCAAAAAATATCACATCTAACTTTTTATGCTACAGTGAAAAGCTATCAGAAAATATCACATCTCAACTCGAATTGAAAACTCAAATTCACAAAATGAACGAGGCCTAAAAAAGTCAAACAACTACAACTCTATCATATTTAAAATTATTTCAGAACTAAACTAATATCACTGAAATGCTAAAAAACTTACTTCACTTTCCATACATCTAAATTACCTTACAACAATAATACCATTTGATCAAAAATTTTCTGAGCTAATAAGAAATTTTATGAGAAATTTCTTTATTGAATCAACATCCAACCCGATGCACATTATTAAACAGAGCCCAAGAATCAAATGGAAAAACAATTGAAGTTTGAAGTAAAACAGGAAAAAAGGAACCAAAAAGGAAAATAAATAAGGATTGGAAAAGACTTTAAGAAAAATATGAGAAGAAAGAGGGAATAAGGAACTTACAAAAAGATTAACGGGAGAAGGATGAAGATGCTGAAGAAAAACTCAGTTATGTATAGTTGGCGGTGTCCAAGCCAACACCGGTGGTGAGGCAAGCGAGACCAGCGACGGAGGAGGTAAAGGCAGAGCTGGTTGCAGAAAATTGAACGAAGAGGCGAGAACAGAGAAAGAAAAGCGAAAAAAGTAAAATGGTTTTTCTTTGACGAAATTTGAAGGAGGATATAGAATATATTAATGATAGTCAAGCGGTGACTTAAGTCAACGGGGCCTTAACAAAGAAGTCAAGTGATGATCAGTCAAAAATAACAAAGGACGTCTCGTAAAAATTAATAAAGATGACGGGTGAAAAGGGATAAAAAAAAGTTAACGAACACGAGGTTTAAAAATTTTAGAGAACGTTTGGTTCATCTATTCAGAATCATTCTTATTTTATGTGTATTTTTTGTGAAAAAAAAATACGTTAGAGAATCATTAATCATAATTCAAAATCAGAAACGAATATAAAAAATTCTCTTAATAATATATATAGATAACACCATAACACCATCAAGGTACCTCAAGAGCTCTTTTTTTTTAACTTGAATTTATTTTTATGCTCTTTAAGTCTAAAAACATACTTAAAAAATTATGGACTTGTTCTTTTGGAGTTTAACTTGAGTATAATTCTTGAGTTAAATTTGAGTTATAATTTGAATTTATGTTTGGTTGTGTACATTTGAGTTATGATTTGAGATAATAATCTTTTTGAGTTTGTGTTTGGGTGAGTCAAAACTTGAATTTGTATTTAGATAGTATTTTAATAAAAACTCAATGTTGATGAAAAATTTTAATAGGGTATATGGATCGGGTTTTATTCGCTTTTTCGTTGTCAATGCATAGAAAAAAAAATCATCTCAATCAGAATTAAAACGAAAAAGTTATAGCATTTTTAAGAATAGAAAAAATATTGTTCATTAATTTGAGTTTGAGTTTCTGAACTCGAGTTGAAGGGAAAACTTGAACTCGAGTTTTAGTCCTAAATTCGAATTTAAACTCGAGTTTAAACTCAAATTTAAACTTAAAAAAATATAAATTTGAATAAAATTATAACTTGAGTTGCATTTTTTTAAAATTTTTCACCTAAAAAAATAAGTCCAAAATTATTTTACTCGTTTCTATTTTCTCAGTTATAAAAACCATGACTGACAAATTGATGTCCTTCTCCCACGTGTAATGCGCTTCGTTCCCTTTTTTTTCTTTTTTAGAATTTTATTCTTTGATCCTCAATTATTTTTTATTTACATGTTTGCCCTTCATTTATGTTTCTTCTCATTTTTCTACTTTTTTTTTTTTAGTTTTTTGCATTTCCCACATATTCTATAAATTTTCAAATTCACTACATAAAATTATTTCTCTCTTTTCTAACTTCTAAGTTAAAATTTATTTTACAAATATATCCCTACTAAAGTAGTTCTATTACAGTCCTCTATATACGTTTACATGTATTTAACTTTTTTTGTTCGTTTTTACTCCACGAAAATATTTTCTTTCTTGAACCCTAAAGCAAACATTTTCCTTCTTTTCATATGTACACCTTGATTTGTATTTTTAAATATGTTTTGCATTTAAAAAAACCACTACTAAAATATTTATTGTCAAATATACTCTTACTTAAAAATCTTTTTTTTTTTTTATGTGCATCCTAATAAGTGACTCACACGCGACACCACGTATGGAGCACGTCCCAAGACTAGTATCACAGAAAAACTTTAAAACGATATTTGTTAACATAAGGAAACAATGACAATAAAAACGACAGGAAAATAATAGACGACAAAAAACTGGAAACGACAGCAACCATTAAACAACATCAAAATTGAAAAACGACATCTCATAGCGACCTTTGTGTCATTCACTTATTTGCCTTTGCCCGATGGTTGGTTTCTGTTAGGGTATTTTACACATTTGTCCTTTAATTTGTATAGTTTTAGTAATTTATCTTCTAAATTTTTAATTTTGATAAGTTGCCCTTTTAATTTAAAAAAATTATTGCAAACCATTTTGACATTGATTGTGTCAAATTAGTGTCCTAAAAACATGTTCGACAAAAAATTCTAACATTTTAATTCAAATGTAACACAAATCTATTAATTCCTTAACTTTTAATCGCTTAATTATAACCAACAAAATTTGAGCAAATTTAATAAAATGGGACAAATTGTAACAATTTTATAAGTTCAGGAGGTTGATTGTTAAAAAAAATTTGAAGAGCAATTTGCTAAACCACGATAAGTTTAGAGGGTAATTGCGCTGAAAACCCTTTCTGTTAAGTAGATTAGATTTGCCTGTACTGGTTGTGTTGTGCATATCACGCTGGCGCTGTGTGGAATGCGTAGCGACTTCAACAAACAATCTCGTAAATGTAGTATCATTTCTCTGATTTGTTGGTTCTTTTTCAATTTCGGAACATATTTAGAGCAACCAGCAGTAGTACCTGGAAGCAGTTGTGCATGTAAATGCAGAACAAGTAAAACGACTAAGAACTCCAAAAAAAAATGGAAAACTAAAAATAGCAAAATGAAGATTTAATTGCAAATTTCATAAAATATACATTCGGAAGTTAAAAACTTTATAAATCCAATTACCACCTATGGATATATTCTAAATTTTTTAATGGAATACATTTGATGCAAGTGTTAATCATAAGTTGAGTGTTGACAACGAGAATGATAACCAATTTAATGTTTCTTTTAATTTTAACTAAATTGAAGAACATGAATTAGAATATGTCAAGGGTGGCAACTTGAGTCATGTTTGTGTAGACCAAATTTTTCGTGTTGAGTTAACCCATGAGTGACACTCACATTTTGTATGACCCAATTTTTTCTTGTAAATCAACACTCACATTATTATCACAAAACATACAAATAATAATGTGAGTGTTGATTTACTTAACCCATTTATAGATTACTTTGTGAATTTAAACGACTATTCTTATATTTTCATTTCGTTTAAATAAATTTATTGAATATTAGTTTCTTAGAACAAAATATTTTTCTCCATCCATATATTTTGAATATATATTTTTAATAAATAAACCTATCAAATATCAATCATGATATTATTTTGAATCGAGTTTGATTCGTGTTGCCGCGATATAAGAATAAAAAAAAATATTGCCATCTCCTAAGCTCAATCGATAAATGTATTTCTTTATAGGATTCAATATAGGCTTCACTAAACTTTTTGTTAAGTGACACCACGTTTCATTTAGGAAGTAAGTACTACTTTAAGGAGAGTGACGCAATTGCTTTCCGAATGGCCGAAGGGAGTTTGATAAGCTGAGATTGATTTGAGAAAATGATGGTACAAAGCTGAATCCCACGTGATCTGGAAAAACTAGAACGTGGGGTCCCAATTAAGCATCTAGAAGAAATAAGACAAAAATTGAAGTGTCTCGCATGCCAAAACGAACAAAAAATGGGCTCAATTCACATGGCAGCTGCCAAATGAGACCGGCCTGGTCCAAATAACAATACAGAAAAGCATGTGCTTCACGGGTTGACTTAAAAAGGAAAAAAAAAAAAAAAACAAAGGGGACAAAAATGGTCAAAATTGTAGTTTTGCCGTGTAACACGGGCGTTGAAAACCCCATTAGATTACTCGGTCACTAAAACAACTAGCTATTATGGCCAATGGCATGACCTCTAGGCTAAATTATTGAAGTCTGAACAACTATAATTGGGGGTAACTTAAAAAGAATTTTGAGTAAAAGATGGGATAAAGTAATGTAGTGAAATATCAAATAGGCTAATATTGATATGCTTTGGTAATTACGATTGCAATACATTGTTCTGTTCTCAAAGTATTCCTACACGTGAGGAAGAAAACTATTAAAAGTTGTCATTTACATTTGTGAAAAGTTAACGTGGGCATTTTGCCACAGCATCAAGGGCTATTACCTGGAGGAGTTTTGTAGCTTCTTAAGCCGCAAGTTTCTTGGTCAAAAAAACACTTGCAGGAGAAGCGAAAGGTCACCTGTTGTTTTCACCTGAACTTCTATTCACCCAAAAGAGCTGAATTATGATATGAAATGACCTAATTGGACTATCACCACGCTTATATCGTCGGTAGAGCCTCTTCTTACTGATAGGTCAACCAGCTTTTTACAAGCAGAAACTGGCTCTGGCTTGTCAACATCTATGCATAAAGGGCGAACTATATCTACTGCCTCCTGATTAGTAACCTGTAAAACAAAAGAAACATTATATTCAGAACACAAGCCTTTGTGTTATCAATACTGGTTATAGAGAATAATTCAAAAGATAGTACCAAATATGACATCAGTTTGAAAAATTACCTTGTCCCACAGCCCATCAGAGCCTAAGATCAAGAACTCGCAATCACGCTTGATCCTTAAAACTTTGGTCTCCGGTTCAGCTATCACCCATTGTTTAAGATTCCGATCTCCGATCCCTCTTGACACAGCAAGTGAACCCTGAATCCGCCAAACACCATTGCAACAGTCAACATAACCACCCTGCAAAAGAGCACATTGCAAAATCCAATCAATTCCACTCCTAGCTTAACACAGCATCATGAAATTATTATTAACTTCTCTATTACACACTTCACCCAGTCGAATGAATGCTTACCAGTGTTTCGATTCTGTCCCTCTCGTCTTTCCTCAAAGGCCCGTGATCAGTAGTGAGGGCCTCCGCAACCCCTCCTCGGCTCATAACAGCGCGGCAATCACCGGCATTCGAGACCACCAAGTTATCCTTTTTAATCAATGCAGTGACACAGCATGTACCACCACCGGTGTCCTCTTTTAGAAAATCGGCATCTGTTGCGAGGTATCCATCTTTCACAGCCCCCACAATTTCTTCTTCACTTCCTCTCCTCAATTGATTTACTATGTTCTTTTCCAAGTTCTTGGCGGCAAATTCTGCTGCCTTAGGCCCTCCGTGCCCATCAAAAACACCAAAGAACGCCTGCAGTCACAAAATCTAATCAATTCAAGGCTCTAAAATCATTTAAGCACCAAAGATAATTAAGCCATCAAATTCACAAGCAAAATGAAAAATCTTCACATCATACAATCTCCACCACAAACCCCAAGTGTCAAACTTTTCTCTTATGTTTCTCTTGTAGCTTTAAAACGTCCTAATTCACCTAAATCCATGTATATGTAATTAATAACGTCTTCTCTATATAAACTATCCTTCTTTAACTAAGATCAACGCGAAACAAAACTGAATTTTGTATAATGTTAATCACTTCCCAAAATTAAACTTGATTTTTTATTTTTTTTTTCCCCGAAATACCAATAATGTTCCTTTCTAAGTTCGTTTTAACAAACCCTAAGTTTCTAAATAAAGTAAAAACACATGATTATCCTTTCCTGAGTTTTCTCGGCAACCAAACAGAAACCTGAGGAATGAAAGGAAGTACAAATCAAATAACTACCTTGCCTGTCTCGACTCCGCTTGAAACAAAACTCAATTTGTATGATATTAATCAATTTTCCAAATTTGAGCGATAATGTTACTTTCTGAGTTCGTTTTAATCCATCCTAACATTTCTAAACAAAGTCAACAGATGATTATCTTATACTTTCCTAAGTTTTCTCGGTAACCAAACAGAGAATACGTAACGAACGAAAGTGAAGCCAAAAATCAAACAATCACCTGTCTAGACTCTGCTTGAAGGTCAACAACAGCCGAGTAGCGATCCTCCATTGCGCCTCTCCTCCCTCTCTTGCAATAAACCGAATACCCATCCGCCTCGGCCTCCACAACGTCCACTCTCTCCTTGGGCGAATCCACGGCGAAATTCAAGGGCGCGATCGGAATATCGATCCTCGACGGTCTCTTCCGCTTCAAAACGGCCCCGGAGCACGACGGGATGCCCATGTTATCGGGAGAAGCTTCCTTCTTGGAGCTGCTCAGAGCCGTTATCTGCCTCTGAAGAAGCCGACCGGCTAACGGCGACGAGGTCAGCGCCGGCGAAGGCCCATGTACGTGGATGATTCTCGGAGACACCGGCGATTTGTAGAAGATCGAAGAGACTTGCGACGGTGAGAATATCGGCGAGTTTGGTACTACTGCCACAGAAGGCATTTCCTTTCCTTTCCTTCCCTTTCTTCTCTTTTCGTTTCGTTTCCTTTTTAGCTTTTCAACTTTTCTTTCTTTTCTTCCTTCCTTTTCTCCGCTGAGAAGTACAATGGGTTTCGTAGTATCGTATATATAAGGGAAGATGGGAGCCAAACGGCGCCGTTGGGGGGAATAATTGACTATGCATTGACTGTGGTTGGAATATATTTTTTTTAATTTGGATTCGTTGACGCGCTTTTTGGCTTGCAAGTAGGCCACGTTTGAGTGATATAAGCGGTGGTGCCTTACACGCGCTCTTAAGATCAGTGTGGGTTAAAGTTGCCTGGCCACGTGGCTCAAATTCAAATAAAATCAACAAATTTTAAATTTACTAAATCAAAGACGAAAAAAAAGAGTGGGCGGTGGTTTTTGTATGAGAAAATTCGTTCAACGGTCAAACACGTTAAATTTGGTGTGGATTCAGGATTTGGATTGGATTTCAGTTGTGCGACTGGGTCTCTTTTCGTCGTCCCCTTTTTTTACTTCCTTTTCGTTTGAACCGGAATTTATTTTTTTCCTCCTGTATGCAAAAAAGGTTTTTTCTTCGCACCCTACATTCTGAAATTATTAAAAAATCATCCTTTATATTTTAAAATATATTAAGTTCATATATTATATTTTAAATTCATGTAAAATCCTTAATTATTTTGGCCAAAAATTTATTTTGATTATGAATTTTACCTGAATGTCCTCATATTTTTTTTTATTTTTATTCTTTTTTGTTCCTTTTAAGGGTGTTTAGATCTTTTTATGGCTAAAGCTGATCCTTAATTGACACTATATGAAGAGTATGGATTCAAAATTTGAATATAAAAAGAGAGGGGAGCAGGGGGGCCATGCCCTTTAGTTTTTTTTTTTTTTTTTTTTTTTTTTTTTTTTTTTTTTTTTTTTTTTTTTTTTTTTTTTTTTTTTTTTTTTTTAAATATAACAATGGTTTTAATTTTAATATAATAGATATGTGTATAAATTAAATTTGACCATCTTAAATTAACAATTTTATACATTTTATTGGACTAACTATTTACATATATACACATATTAATATATTCTTAATTAAAACAAAATTTTAACCCCCTATCAATAAATCTTCACTTTGTCAAGTGCTAATGCAAGTATGATCTTTTGATAATTTTGAAAAAAGAAACTCTTAAGAAAAATACTATTTGTTTTGGCTTTTATCATAAAGACTTTTTTTTTTGTGCTTGATATATATAAAGGGCATATTTAATTTAGTTCGTTGATTCGAATTTTTAATTCGAGTTGAGATATAATTTTATATGAGAGTTTTTTATTATAATAAAAAAGTTAAATGTGATTGTTTATGAAAGTTTTTTATTATAACAAAATTTAAATTTTAAATTTGAATTGGTAAAATGAACAGAGTAAAGATTATAATTTGTTTTTGTTGTTGGCCTGTGTACATGGCAGTTTCTAGCTGGTTCTTCGTCGATGGTCAGAGATAATATACGATTATTTGCTGGCTTTCCAGCTATTTTAAGCTCAGTGTTGTCTTCAGTCGGTGGCGGCTGGCATGTGGCAACACCAGTTATACACTGCTAAGAGAAGCTACTCACTGCTTTCTACTATTCTTCTCCCTTCTAGACGTAAAATTCTTATTTAGATTTTTATATTTTTCTTAGACTTGACGTAATCTCCCATTCTAGATTTTTATAATTTTTTAGATTAGACAAGCATGAAATCCGCGCGTTGCTGCGGAATAGAGTATTATATTATATGATAGTTGTATTTAAAGATATTTATATATATACATGTATTATACAGTATTGTATTATATGATAGATATAAAATTTGTACAAACATATTTATACAGACATATATAGCATTATTATTTATAATATTTATATATATACATATTGTACATAATAAAAAAAACAACGCTGTTGTGGTTCTTGATCATTTCATTTCTTTCAGCTGCAAATATAAAAATAGGAAAATTGGTTGTAAATATATGTTAAGAGAAATAAAGATGGTTAAATTATATAGTATAAAATAAATATTATAAAAATATTTATATTACCTTGTTTTTGGGCGTTTTGCAGATTGTCTTGTTGTTCTTGATTCAGGGTTGAAAAAATAGAATAATTGGTAGATATGTTTTTAAATTAATTGATAATATATGTTGTGTTGAATTATGCTTACCTTGTACCAGGTTTTTTTGGTGTTGGAGTGTGTGGATCAAATGTGGTTGGTATTGATAGCTGTGATGATGGTATTGCCTGTGGGCTGAAAAATAATAAGATTTTTAAAATTGTGATAAATATAATAAAAATATTATTTATGTATAGTTGATAAAAAATTTTAAAAAATATTATTTACCTTTGTGGATCTTCTGTTCCTGTAGTTAACTGTTTTGATGGCGATGATGGGACATGGATGTCTTCAAATATTTTGGAAATTAATGTGCTCATTTGGGTGCCTCGTTGTTGAAAGAAGACTTGGAAGATTTTTGATTGTCCTCGGATCTGATCGATAGCTAGTGGTATTATAAATGGATCGGTAAAGCCTTCGTCAATTATTAGTGCAGAACATGGTTTTTTTATTAATGCCTGAGCGGTTTTGCCAAAAGCGATAACTTCCATGTCTCCAGTATGATCTTCAATTTGGATTGTTAATCTGTACCTGTAACATGTATATAAATATATTTTTAATTTTATTAATTTTTCGTTAAAGTAAGTAAAGATATATAATAAATACAAATGATATGGTAACAAATTTAATTACCACGGAGATGGTATTCATTTTATGTGGCCATGATTTTCGCACCACCAATCTATTCTTGTCTGTTTTAGTTGTCGATAACATCTGGGGCAAGAATTGTAGAACCATCCTTGAGATGTTAAAAAGTTTACTATGGTCGCTCTTACAGTGAATTTTCCATCCTGCATAAAAGATAGAATATTGTGGTTTTAAATTTTTTACTAAGTGTAGTAAAAAATAATCAGAAAGTTAATAGTACTAACCAGATTATTTTGTGCATCTAATGTTTTGAGCTCGTTTATTGTTCTTCTGTTTGCTGATGTTTGTTCTTCAATTGTTTGGATAGGTGTTTTTGGTGGTGGTAGGAATTCAATTTGTTGATTTTGATGGGAAAATCTGTATGTATAAAAATACGAATAAGTTAAGAAAAATATAAATATAATTTATGATTATCTAATATGATAAATTTATTAGAATATAATATATGTGTGTGTGTGTTTACCTTATCTTTAATGTTGTTGTTTCTGGGATGTCTGGGTCAATATAGAAAAGTGTTGCTGATGTACTTGAAACATATGAGTTACCTAGAAATATAATAGAGTAAATAATAAATGTATGCTATATTTTTTTATATATTTATATAAAAATGTTATAATAAAGTAATTTAAAAATACCCAGATATTGCTTCGTCAACATTGCTGAGAAAATTGCCACAAGTGGTGCCTTCAGTGTTTTGAGTACATTTTCATCAAATTGATCGGCTTTATGTCCCCATAGGCTTACCTGTAGTTGTTCATTTCTGTTGAAAAAATGTTGTTTATAAAAATGATTAATAAAATTGAATCATAAAAGTAAAGTGTGAGGAAAAAAAGTATAAATTTATTGTACCTGATGTTTTGTATCACTATGGATCGCCGTGTTGTTGGTCTGGTGCTGACATGTGTATGTTCAAGTGCTTGGATACTTGTTAATACTCCAATAACATCTAATATTACATATAAACATGGGACTTTTGTAAATAAATATTCAAGATATATTTATAATAGTGATAAAATAAATTAGGTAACATATATTACCTGTTAATATCTCAGTATTATTTATTCTTTGATATAGATGGTCAAATTCTATGAAGTAGAATTTGTGAAATGAGATATATGGTGCGTCTTCCATAATTGGAGTAAAAGATGTTGCTCGTGCAAATTAGATCATAGCATTGTGTGGAACAACTTTGTATGTTGGTTTATTTTCAGTAACATAAAAGTTACTAATATTGTATATATTGTCTTGTTCAATTTTTTGAGAAATATAGTCCGAATCACATACTCGAATTGTTCCCTGTATTGCTTCATGCTGTAAATAAATAATAAGGATAGAAATTTATTCAACATTAACAAATGTTATATAAAATAATATGTAATATAATATTCTAAAATTTTAGTACCTCTTCATCAACCAGAATACAATCAAGGCTTATCAGACGTCCTGTGACAAAATCGTTGTTTGTCCATATTCTGCATACTCGTGCTTGTATTGTTTCATACACTTCATTTAGTTTTAGTGCACGAATAGGTGTTGTCATTTTCTGTAAATCCTGAAATAAGCAAATAAGATGTTGTTATAATGATAAATATTTTTATTTAGTTTATTGTTAAATATGTGATATTAAAAAAACTTTAATGTTATGAAGAATATAAGATAGTATATATTTTTTATGTATTTATTTATGTGATGTTATATAGGATTTCTTTGTAGACAATGTTTTTCATATGATTAGGATAATTATTGTTTGAATTATTAAGTAATATATATAATCATTTTGGGTTAGTTACCCTGGATAAAGCAACATATAATTGACCATGGTTAAATATCCGATTTTCTAAGAATAGTCAAACTTTATTCAAAGATTGCCCCTGACTTTTATTTATTGCCATTGCGTAACATATCTTTATAGGGAATTGTCGTCTTTTCAAAGTAAATGGCCATTTAGATTCATGTACAGTCATTTCTATTCTTGGAATATAAACTTTTTTCAAAAATATTATTTGAATTAATGATCTGTCATTCTATTATTTTATTTGATGACTGTGTTATGATAAGTCTTGTTCCATTGCATAGTCCAGCAGATTGATTTAAGTTTCTTAGAAGCATTATTGGAGTCCCGAGTTTAAGATTTAGTTCATGTGGTGGTAAACCGTTGAAATTTAAATTGTGTAAAAATTCTCAAGGATATAAGAGATTTAGTTCTTCTATGTTTTCTGATGAAGGCATTATTGTATCATAACTATAATAAGTTTTTGCCTCATTAGGTACTAA